GTGCAGTCAATTGTAAAGATGGACAACAACTGGTTATCAAAAATGAAAAACATCACATATGCACGGTGTCACCAACGGGAGCTATCCGCACATTTGTGCTTCCAATTAAAGGGCCTAGCATTCCCAGGCGTCATCTAACATCACCACGTAGGCAGCTATAGCTACCTGCGTGACTTCCAGTTGTTATCCATCTTTACAATTGGCTGCACCTTGCTGATGAGGCCCCTTTTGACTTATATCATACACACTCGATAACATCTATATCTGTATATTTTATATATCTTGTAACACATAATTTTAAAGATCTCAAAAGTCCTCACTCAACCCCGTTTGGAAAACTGAAATTGGTTGATCCGATCTCGTAAAATAGGGCAAGAAGAAAATGGATTATAACAAAATGCAAAAATTTATGGAACCGCTACCACTTACTCAATAACGGTATGTTTATATCTCTTTTTTACACAGATTATTTTGCATTATAGCTGAAAGTGAGATAAGGGCACACAGTTGCTTTTTGGCATCAGTTACAATTAAATGGTGAAAACATTTATCAGAATTAGTTATTCCTGATTTTAAACTGTTTGTCAAGTGGTGTCAGTTGCACTCTATGTCTACTCGAGATGAAACATACTCACCGACATCGATTGTATATACTGTGGTAGTTTGTGAATATCCCTATTAACATATGTGAATATTTATTTGTTTATACACACATCGGAAAAGTCTAGGGATATTTTTATAACATACTAAATATCATAAAAATAAATGCATGAGGTCGTTTAATTTCGATTAAATTGGTACACTCGACCACCCTGTAGATTTCTATGGGTTGAACAAAGCCTGCAAAAACGGTAACTAATCTTTTATCAAGTTTTTTACAAACTGTNATATTTCTGTATTTTATAGTTTTACAGGTGAAATTCGTCTGCAAAAACTCAATTATGGATTGATTATAACAAAATTGGATAAAACCAGAATGAAAAAAGAGTGTTTCATATAAAAATGCATTTTCATATTTAAATTTTCGTGAAGTTACCAAAAAACACCATATTCTTTCCATATATTTTGTTTTCCACAATTCTTTCTATATATCAAGGTATCAACATCGGCAACTAGGATTCGGAAATTTATTTCAGACGTATCTAAAATTCCTTTTGCCACTTTTTGGAATCTGGATGTCAACACTAACAATTTTTCCACTCCCTTTCTGTTTTTGACTACCTGCAAGTTGAGAAAATGAAAATCACCAATTTGTATGTACTGTTGATAATGATAATAATTCACTTTAAAAATTGAAATAATAATATAGAAATACACGAAACCGAATGAAGAGAAAAACACAGGAACATTAATTAAACAGATGTTGAGTAGGTGAGCTCCATTTTCAAATCAGGGGATAAATCTGTATTAGGTATTCATCGACCAATATCAGTAATGAACAATTTTGCTGAAATATTTTAGCAAATTTTGAAAAATGGACCAGTTTAATTTTTTGAGATAAGTGAGAAACAACCGGGGCCTTGGAAATCTTCGAGAAATGTTCAGCAATGTTATTGGACTTGACCAAGGCATTTGAGTTCAAAATGAAAAACTCCCCAATAAACTTTATGTATAAGGTATTCGTGAACCGGTTTTTGTTCTGCACAATTATTTGTTTTAGAGAATTCACTATGTTGAAGTGGGTAATAAAAATAATACCTATCGTAATATTTCAATAGGGGTTCCATGGGAAACAGTTCTATACCTACAGGTCATATAATATGCTGATGATACAGTAATACCCTAAGGAGGCAGACTATTGAAACATGTTTACAAAAATCTGGTTGTGATAACCTTCTCATTTCAAAAACAAACTAGTCATCAGCCAGAGAAATAAAAATTAACATACATGTATGAAATGGTGGCATATGAATCTCTCAGAATGCAATTATTGGTTTAGGTGACCATTTACGATGGTAATATTTAGTAATTATAAAAAAAGTTTTTGGTGCTGAATAAATCTGAAATGAGGACTTTACTGAAACTAATATCAGTTAATATACACGGTGAATTTCTGTGTGATTCAGTAGTATTATTGGTCATGATATCATCGATGTCGGAAGAATATAATCGTGTTCAAATTCAAAGAGAAATCTAAAGAAATGAACTTTGAATGTTCAAGCCCGTCTCAGATATACCTACACAGTAGATTGAATGAACTGAAAACAACTACTCCACTGGCTAATACCACGAACGGCATTGGATTATATCCGACATGCGTCAGTGCAGTAGTCACAGAAAATTTTCTGCATATGCAATTGGCAATACAACTGAAAGAGTCGACCATCAATTTTGGAACAGGCACACTTGCAGATCAGTTTTGGGCTCCTTAGACACCATCATCACCATCATCGACCTAAAGTCAATGATATTCTATAATAATGTCGGATATAATCCAACGCCGTTCGTGGTATTAGCCAGTGGAGTAGTTGTTTTCTGATAAGCGTCAGTCTATTGAATCTACTGTGTAGGTATATCCGAGACGGGCTTGAACATTCAAAATTCATTTCTTTAGATTTATTGTTTACTGTCTGTCTTCAAGCATAGCCCACTGACCAATAAAATAGTTTTTTCTTCCTTATTCAGAGGAATCGGGCAAATTTCGAATATGCAGTTGGTTAGTACCTCGTGATGGAGTGACATTTTTGATGTTTGCTCCAACTTAAACGAGGAATGAAATACTCTGAACGGATTTCGATTTTCAGTTATGAAATGTCCTTGACTTTAGGTCGATGATGGTCACTATCTTGCACTGACGAGTGGCTAAGGAGCCCGAAACCGGTCTGCAAGTGTGCCCGTTAAAGACGACTCTTTCAGTTGTATTGCCAATTGCATATACAGAAAATTTTCTGTGAAGATTCCAGCACTGACGCCTGTCGGATATAATCCAACCCCGTGCGTGGTATTAGCCAGGGGAGTAGTTGTTTTCTGATAGGTGTCAGTCCATTAACCTACATTGTAGGGAGTTTCTCTGAATTTCGACATTATCCTTGACACAGTAGTATGTTGAACATTTTTTCCTTGATGCCGTTCATTAAAAATGTTAGCTACTTGCCGGTATGGTGTATTCTCACCACATATTAAAACTATTTTTATTCTTTCCTGAAGAGACAACACTATTGCAACAATAACTGTACATGTAAGTTAAATTTTTACTTTTCATTCAGTATATTGTTTAGGAATTCTGTGAATGATATCTGATTGGATTTCATAACGAATGTTTGGAGTACGAACTGAACAGGAAAAAGTGTTTTGTGTAATTCGGTGTTCATATAAATTTATTTGTTTGGAAAGTGTTTTTATTTCGTGTATTTCAATGTTTATATGAAATTACTGTTACTAGAGGGGGCTTTTTCTTCTAGTTTGTGTTTGAAAGTTACTCATTTGCATGATCTACGAAATTTTATGAAGAGTCAATTTTTAAAATTCATTTCTTCCTTCCTTTTTATGGAATATTCTCACACTTTTTTGTATAAAGACGGAGAAGTAGAAAGCCAAAACCTCCCCTTCCGAAAATATAATCCTTCTCATTGAAATCGTTTGTATCTTTTTCATGAATTGTAAATTAGCTTTAAAAATTACTGAACATCTGCATCCATTTGCGAAGCGAACAATGAGCCCACATTGAATTTTGGAAATCCTAAATCCATTGGTTCATTCTATTTTTGATTACATAACAAGATCCATTATATTTTTCATGTCGGTATTTTGTTAAATACTATCATAATAACTGCAACACCAATTATCTACTCAAAGAATATCGTGAGAAGTCAATTGGTCTCGCAATTAATAATATTTATACAAAAATTTGATGCGTGAAGTCAGTTGAACTGAATCGTAAATACACTTTCGTCAGGTTCGTATTTGGAAGAAGGAAGCAACAGAAGAAAAAAAAGATGAAAAAGTCGCCCCGCACAGTACCTGGAATTTTGAAAAGAAAATGTGTTAAAACACATGTGCTGAAATGTACCGGGACTAAGAGAGAAAACGCATTTTTTTTGTTCAAAATTGGTTTTATTTATCAACGTAATCTCCATCAAGAGCCACACAATCATTTCAGCGCAGCTTTAACATTTCAATACCACTTTTGTAGAACTATTCTTCTGCCTCAAAAAAGGCTGCAGTTTCAGCAATAACCTATTCTTACGAGCGGACTTTCTTATAGGTGATCTTTATATTGAGGTCTGTAAACAGAAAAAAGTCGCTGGAGGCCAGACCTAGAGAATACGGTGGATGAGGAATCAATTCAAAGCCCATTTCATGCAACTTTGCATGACTTGTGACACTTGTGCCATATGCGGTCTTTTCTCTGCAATTTCGGCCTTCAAACGCTCGGATAACGCTATACAGGGTGTCCCTGGACTTCCTCTTTTCCTTTCGGGAATGTATAGATGGGGTCAAAATATTACCAGTACTTCATATAACATTTTTTCCTAAAAGTCTTCGTAACCAAGTTACGGGCCCTCGAAGTTACAAAATGAAAAATGTTTTTCTTTAATTTTTAGTTTCAATTTCACTTTAGGGGGAGTGGTGTATAACTTTACATTTGTGCCCTTTTTTGTAATTGTAATATGAACTCTAGCTAAACAATCATCACTAGGAACCCAACAATATATAACCTCTTTGCAAATAGAAAGTGGACTCAAGATAAAATAATATGTGAACTCTCTCTCAATATCAACTGGTTAGTAAATAAAAAAACAAATACTCACATAACGCCTCTTTGGGTGGTTCATGGTCCCATAGGTTTCGTTGAACCGGTGTGTCTTCAGCACCAACACTTTTAATTTAAACTCCCCCGTACTCAATACTGGCTTTACGATTTTACTGAATATAATATATAGTATATACATTAAAGAGACACAAACATGCATTTTCTACTTGCTTGAGTACCTGAATGTGTATATACGTGGCTGATGTGTGCATATTACATAGAATGTGACTTTTACAATTGCGATATCTCAGGAACGGTGATACTCACAGAAAAAATTATAAGGACCATTTTTGTAGAGAATTTTGAGATCCTCAACTTTATCTTGGAATTTTTTTTTTATAAAACTCACGGTTTTCGAGAAAACTCAATAAACCTAAAATTTTGACTCTTGACCCCGAATAATCTGTCTCATGGGACAGATTGGGACTTTCAAATTTTCATTTTTTATGGTAGAATAAAGGTCTTCACTGAAGTTTAGCTCTGTCGCAATTTTCTTTATTTCATTACTGTTTTCAGGTCTAAATTGACTGAACTATTACATCTCTCCCTGTATAACTTTGATTTCTCAGACTATTGATGATCTGTTCAATATTGTTCGTTGGCAAATTGTGATGCTGATTGACAGGAACATTCCTCTATTCAATGAACGCTCTCTGTGGTACTCGTACATATTCATAGTTCCCGATAAAGCTTCCGCTAGTTTTGTAACAAATGCAAATTTATAGGTTTCATGGAGAAGTTCTGACAGAGGTGTATCGGAGAATTATTGAAACCTATATAATTAATCCCCAAAAGCATTTCATAATGATCTAATTAGTACCTACTACTAATTTAGTAGGTTGTATCGAAAATCATAGTTGTGTAATTTCGTGTTTGCACGAATGTTTATTATATTTATAGTAAATGATGTGGTTACGAAAGGTAGCAATTATAACAATTGTTCTTTCAAATTCCAAGTAGTCACGACTAGAATTGAGGAATGAAATGAGGCCTAAACGGAAGATATTCAATATATTTTTTCTATTGACGTTTTATGAAAGTGAATTTTCGGTTATTTTTTAAGAATTATGATTGCTGACGTTACAACACTTGAGTGAAAATAAAGAAAAAAAAGGCTTGTATTCATATCACACTTAGCACACTCAAAACTGAGTCCTGCAAAAATGTTAGGATTTATTTTTTTGATAGGTGTCATTTTTTCCTTGTGACAGGCTTTAAATATATCTGCTATTGAAACAACTTTTACTACGGTATATCTTCTCAAGCTGCGGAGTAATTAATCATTTTCGAATAGCTGTGGAAAATGTGGCTTCTATTCAAAACATTCAGTGTTGTTGTATAATTTGATATAATAAATCTCAAAAGACTTTTTGTGGTTGTATGTATATGGTTAGTAACAAAAATATAGAACACTCTCATTAAAAAGTGATAGACCATTCAAAATTGTTTTTACTTTTCAATTTCGATG